ACAGGAACTTTTTTAAAGTGTTGAAGAGCAGAGGTGTAAGCTTGAGGACTAAGGTGCGCCTGACCTAAGCCATGGTATTTTCAATAACCTCGTATGGATGTGAAAGCTGGACAGTGAATAAGGAAGATCGTAGACGAATTGATGCCTTTGAGTTGTGGTGTTGGAGGAGAATACTAAAAGTGCCATGAACAGCCAAAAGAACCAATAGATCTGTTTTGGAAGAAGTGCAGCCAGAGTGCTCCTTGGAGGCCAGGATGGCTAAGCTCCGTCTCTCATACTTTGAACTTATTGTCAGGAGGGAACAGTCGCTGGAGAAGGATATCATGCTTGGTAAGATGGAGGGTCAGAGAAAAAGAAGAAGACCTCCAACGAGATGGATTGGCCAGGTGGCAGCATCGATGGACTCAAGTGTGGCAGCGGTAGTGAGGTTGGCCCAGGATTGGACATTGTTTCGTTCTGCTGTGCATGAGGTCGCTATGAGTTGGTTCTGACACGATGGCACCTGACAACAACAGTTTATATATTGCTGACATCTTACAGTGTAAAGAATGACCTCATCATGATGCTTAATTTAAAAATAATTTTAGGTCTGTGGAAGTCTAAGCCTTCAAGTGGTTCATTCAGTTAGTGAAAAGATTGCTTTTCTTTTGCCTCTAGTGACTGTTAAACTCTGATTTGTTTTTGTTTTCCAGGTTTGGCTGGTGTGGTAAAATATCGAGGTGTAAGAATTGGTGGGATCTCTGGTATCTTTAAATCTCATGACTATCGAAAAGGTATTGTTATTTTGAGAGTTCTTTTTAGACTTAGATCTTGCATTCCCAAGAATAGATTTTAAGCATGATATAGTTTGACTACTACTTTTCATTGGATTTTTGTCTATGAACTGAGTATTTTAAATTTACAATTATAGACTGTTTCACACATATGAAAATACAGAGAACTATATAAAACATACTTTGTATCTTTCATTCAGTTTTCCAGTCTCAGGATATTAAATCCAAACTCTCACTGATTCCCACTCATAGCAACCCTGGTGTGGCGCTGTAGGTTAATGCACCAGACTGCAAAGCCATTTGAACTACAAGTCAGTGGTTCAAGCTCACCAGCTGCTCTTTGGAAACCCTATTCAGGGTCACTATGGGTCGGAACCGATTCAATGGTACTTCACAACAACAACAACAACATAGCAACCCTATAGGATGGAGTAGAACTGCCTATAGGGTTTCCAAGGATGTCCAGGGGATCTCTGTGTGGCACTTTAGGAAAAGCAACTGGATTGCTAATCACAAGGTTGGCAGTTCAAACCTGCCAGTTGCTCTTTGGAAACACTACCTAGGGTCACTATGTGTTAGACCTAACTTGATGTCACTTAACAACAACAGTATTTACAATAGGAAACTGTCACATCTTTTGCTCACACAAAGCAGCTTTTGGTTAGCAGCCAAATGCTTTAACCACGATATTAACCAGGGTTCCTTTTGGTTTTTAAGAAATTGTTGTTGTTAAGTGCCGTCGAGTCAGTTCTGACCACAGTGACCCTATATAGGGTTTCCGAGGAGCGGCTGGTGAGCTTGAACCACCAACCTTGCAGTTCATACGGCTTTGCAGTCTGATACATTAACCCACAGCGCCACACCAGTACTCTAAAAAATAGAATAGTTAAAATTGAAGTTCATTGTTTATTGTTGTTGTTAGTGCCATCAAGCTGTCCCAACTTTTAGTGACCCTATATAGGCTTTCCGAAAAGCCACTGGTGGATTTGAGCTGTCACCCTTATGGTTAGCAGTCCATTGCTTATCCTATAGTGCCACACCAGGACCCCAAACTGTCCTTATTTCCCAGCTCTTCTTTTTGCTCTCTCCTGCCATGCAGTCACTGCTGAGATTAGTGTTTGTTATTTTCTTGGGTTTTTTTTTAATATCATTACCACATATGTAAGAGGTTTAAACAATAGGGCATGTTTTACATTTCATGTAAATGTATCATACTGATCTTTTTGCAACTTGATTTGAAATCTGTGTTGATACATTTAACTCTAATTCATGTATTTTAATTTGTGCATGATATTTTATAGTAACAATACATCACAGTATTCATTCCATTATGTCTGAATGAATTGACTGGGCCTTTTTTTTTTTATAAATTACTATAAATTTATATGTAACATTTGCTGTTTCCACATTTATATAATTCATTGACCTTATGTTCATCATGTTGTTCAACTAAAAAATCTATAACCTTATTGTAACTGTTAAACCACAAATCTGTACCCTGCTCCCCACTTCCCGTGGTTTAAAACTGTTAATTCAGGCATACACAGGCTGTCTCTTCTATGGCAGGTGTGGGGCCAGATTGGAATCATGCTGTGGAAGACACTTAGTATGTGTGGAAAACTTAGAAATGTACTCTTGACCCAGGAGTTTAAGTACAAAGTGATATGTACAAAGTTATTTCACCACTGTTTATACTAGCACATGGTTGGAACTAGTTATATTTTTAAGTGCCTTCTAGTTGGTAATAATGCATAGTGATCTTGTACAGGGTATCTGAGGGTTTTTTGGGAGCAGAAAGCCTCCTCTTTCCCTCTTGGAGTGGCTGGTAGGCTCTAACCGCTGACCTTGTGGTTCATTGTTGTTATGTGCCATGGAGTTGGTTCTGACTCATAGCGACCCTGTACAGGGTTTCCTAGGCTGTAAATCTTTACGGGAGCAGAAAAGCCTCATCTTTCTCCTGCAGAACTGCTGACCTTGCTGTTCGCAGCCCAATTCATAACTACTATGCTACGTGGTTCATAGTCTAGTGCTTATCTTATGAAGCCACCATGCTCCCAGTTAAATATGTTGTGATATAATTATGTTATATAATGCTGTGAAACAATTAAGAAAAAAGAGTAAAACAAAGAAAGATAGTTATGTTTATAATTAATGTGGAAAGATCACCAAGATAGTGGGGGGAAATGAGTTTGGTGGCTCTGTAATAAGCACTGGACAACCAACTACAAGATTGGCAGTTCAAGGTCATCAGCCACTCTACAGGAGAATGATGAGACTTTCTGTTCCTGCAAAGATGTCTTGGAAATCCTATACAGAGTCGCTATGAGTCTGAACGGACTCAATGGCACATAGTAGTAACAATAACAGAACATGTATAAAGTATAGAACTATTTGTGTAATTGAAGGGATAAAGAAGTTTGTGTGTTATGTTGTTAAGTGCCATAGAATTGGTTCTACTGATGACCCTGTATAGAGATGTGATTAGCTGTCCAATGCTTATCCTACAGTGTCATGGCCTCTAGGTAGGGTTACTGGTGGCTGAGGGACAAGAATTGGAGGAAGTATTATTTTTAAAAGAGCAGCTTTATTGAGGTAAATTTTATGTATACCATTGTAAATCTACAGTTAAATAATTTTATAAATTTCTAGAGCTTTGCAGTTATAACACCAACTAGATTTAGAACATTTCTGTTACTCCAGAAAGTTTTCTTGTGCCCATAGGCAGTTAATTTTTGCTTCCACTGTAGTCCTAGGCAACCACTCATCTTCTCTAAGAGGGATACTTTTTAATCTGCTCCAAAATTTAAATATAGTATAGTTTTAAACACAAACCCTCCCCCTAATTTTTTAGATTGATAGTTTGTGATCTGTTATTAGGTAGGAAATACCAGCATATTAGAAGCAGTATTTTATGTTTTTGCTTTTTTTTAAATAAGATTTTTTAAAGAACCTGAAATTGACGATAATTTCAATTTGTGTGAAGTATATAGTTGTACCTGTATTACTTTAGGGGATTGACTGTAGTTTATTTATTTTCTTTTAAGGTCATTTTGAGTGTCCTCCATATAATTCATCTACGGTAAGAAGTATATATCATGTAAGAAATATTGAAGTCTATAAATTAAAACAGGTATGTAAAAGCTATATTACAGCAGACTTGAAAAACTTCAGAAGTAATTTTATACCAAAATGTATTTTGATCATTTGAATATGCTTCTTTCAAGAAGAGCTTAATTCAGCATTTTTAAAATGTAGATGTTTTGATGCTTTTAGGAAATTCACAGGTGGACATTTTATTTTTATGTCTATGGATTTGTGTTAGTGGGTAATAATAAAATATTTAATCCTGGAATGTGTTTAATGCAGAAACTGTCAGAGAAGGTAAGCTATTGTCCTGGTGTAGTACTGTGGATTAATGCGCTGGACTGCAAAGTTGGTTTGAGCCACAAGGTCAGTGGTTCAAGCTCACCAGCCACTTCTCAGAAACCCTGTACAGGGTTGCTATGGGTCAGAACCAACTCAGCGGCACTTAACAACAGCGAAATATTGCTTAAACAGTAGGCAGTTTTAAATAGTTAAGTAAAACATTAAATGGAAATAGTAATATAATTAATTAGAAACTAAATTTTAGTAGTAAAGATGATAGAGAGTATGGGAAAATTGTAAAAGTGGTATCAAAACTCTGGCTTAATTTGAGAGTCGATGAAACTCAATTTTTTATGTAGAGCCACGAAATACCAACACTGAGGTAGTTTTCACATGTTGTCGTTAAGTGCCATTGAGTTGGTTTTGACTCCGTTTTTTGACTCAGTATAGAATTTCTGAGGAGCAGCTGGTAGATTGGAACTGTTGACCTTGTGGTTCACAGTTCAGTGCTGATCCTGCGGCACCACACCAGGAACCTGTTTTCCCACATAATAGTTCATAAAATCTCCACCTAAGTTCTGTTATGTAGGTATTACTCTAAGTTCCTTACTTTAAGAGTGGAAGCCGTAGCTCTTGCCAGGTAAATAGCTTAGGAGTTCCCATGTATTAAGTGATAAAGCCAACCTGGTTTTTGATCTTGTCATTTTGATCCCACCATATGCAACCTCTACAGGAGCATTAGGCTATTCCTGGACCTTTTTTAATGATCCCTTTTTGATCCATTCTTTACTTTGAATACTTTTCCCTTTCCATCCTTCTAAATCCTACCAATCCTTAAGATCCAGCTTCAATACCGCTTCCCAGCTAGTATTCTAATTGAAAGTCATCACCTTTCTCTGAATTTTCTTCTCACCTATTGCCCATACTATTTGTTCAGCAGTTAGTAATATCTAATGTTTTGTATTGTCTTAACAGTTACTCAGATTGGTTTTCCAAGTTTTTGTTTAAAATTACTTGTAGGTGCTGGGGCTGAGTAATGTATATTTGTGTCCATCCCATAAAGTCACCAGCATTTTTAAATGCTTCTAGTATAGTTTATGCAGTAAACAGATTTTGATGTGTGTGTCTTAGTTATCTAGTGCTGCTATGATAGGAATACCACAAATAGGTATCTTTACTAAAGACATTGCATTTCTCACAGTTTAGGAGGCTAGCAGTCTGAATGTGGGGTACCAGCTCTAGGGGAAGGCTCTCTTAACGTTTACTCTGGGGGAAGGTCCTCATCTCTTTTAGCTTCTGCAGTTTTCCTGTGGCTGGACACTTCTCTTTCCCCATCTCTAGCCTGACTTTCTTAAAGTGTCTTTAGAATGAATTAATTATACAAAGATCTAAGAGGATAATTGGTAGTATAGACAGGTGAGGAGTCATGGAGTATGGTGGGGAGAAAGAGGGATTTCTTTTGGTCTGTTATTAAAAGTTTGCTTTGTTTTTTCTCTCTCACTAAGTTGAAGCAACCTATGGATATATTCTTATCTCATGACTGGCCGAGAAGCATATATCATTATGGAAACAAGAAGCAGCTTCTCAAGGCTAAGTCTTTTTTCCGACAAGAAGTAGAAAACAACACATTAGGAAGTCCTGCAGCTTCGGAACTTTTAGAGCATCTAAAACCTACCTACTGGTTTTCTGCACATCTTCATGTGAAATTTGCAGCCTTGATGGAGCACCAGGTAGAAAACAAAAGCATTTTATTCATTTATTGAAACCTATTGAATATCAATGTAATCAGTGTTGGCACAGTTGTGAAGTTAGAGAATAGCAATAAAAGATTACTTTTGTGACTAGTCCATTATCCAGAAGGGAAAGAGACAAGACAAACAAATTCAAAATAGTGTTGTAAGTTTGTGAGGGAGCAGTGCTGGCATGATGCTCCCTGTGGGAGTGCCTAAGCCGTTGTGGTGGGGATGGACTGTGGGATAAGATGAAGAGATAGAGGTTTCCCAAAGAAAATGAGTCCTGTTGAGCAGAGTCTGGAAGTACCAGGAAGAGATAGACTGTAAAGGACATCCCAGGCAGAGGGAGCAAAGGTAGAAAAGATGCTGTTGTCAGTTGCCATTGAGTTGTTTCTGACTCAAAGTGATTACCCTGTGCCTACAGCAAAGAGCTACTTCATAAGAGTTTTTAAGGCTGTGACCTTTTGGCAGCAGATCGCCATCCCTGTTTTCCAAGGTCCCTGAATATGGCTTGCAGTGCTTCCCAAACTGAGAGTATTTCTTTTTCCCGCAAATAGGACATATTCATGTAAAAAAACATGTGCACACACACATAACCTGAAGAAATGAGCAAACTATGTTTAAAAGTGCTAACATAGCACACCCATGCATATGCTGTGGCATGCTTATGAACATAACGTACAGGAGGTTACACAGTGTGCAAAACTGTGTAACATCTATATTATTAGAGTAAAAACATGGTAGGTGACAAGATTGTCCATGGCATGGGTCCACCTTCACAGTGTTCCTCCGAGGAAAGTTCAGTTGGAAAATAATCCTCTAGGCTCTTTCTGTGCAGACTTATTTATTCCCTTTTCTCCTCAGTTTCACTGGGGGAAGGAGAGATTGCTGTTCATCATTTTTCTTTTGAGCTACTGTCACTTGATAGAGGAGCCCTGGTAGCATAGTGGGTTACAAGTTGGACTGCTAACCGCAAGGTCAACAGTTCAAGTCTACTGACTGGTCCTATAATGATTTACAGCCTCGCAAACCCTCTACAGTGTCACTACGAGTTAACACCAACTCAGCAGCACACCACCACCGCTGCCACTTGATTAACAAAATTACCCACCTTTAAATTTTGTTATCTGTTTTTATCAGTCACTTTGTCCGCATCTGTGTTACTCTCTTCTATTTCTTAGGCTCGTAAGTAACATGTTTATTGAAATATCTGATTCCCTATTTTTTCCTTTATGCATCATCTGCTGGCAGCTTCAGGGACTTGCAACTGTATTAAACTTTCACCCCACTGTTGTTGGCTCCTCCACCTCCTGTGACTTAGCCAGTCTTTCCTCAGAACTGCCCCTTCCCTAGATGGGCCTGTAATCTGTGCTCCCTCCCTTGTCTGGTCCCTTCTGGATTTGATAACCTGATCCTCAACAGGACTCCTTGTAGCTCACTTCCTTTTTTTGCCTTGTGTTTTACCATTTTGTTTTTTTTTCCAGTGAAGCTTTATTGTAGTATTTCTAATAATGTGATTACACTTTTGTGCCTTTTCTCCCCAAGTTTCCTTTTTTTAGTTACCTTAAAAAATCATTTTATTGTAGCTTATGTTCCGTAAAATTCAGTGATTTTTGGTAAATTTCCTGAGTTGCGCAGATGCCACCCTAATCTAGTCTTGGAACATTTCTTTTGCCTCCGGACGATCCCTTGTGCCTGCTTGCAGTCAATCCTTCCCTAGGCAGCCACTTCTAATGTAATGTTTTCTTTTTCCATAACCTTCCTTGTATATGAAATGTGTATGAAAAATGTCTCCCTAACATTTCATGTACATGGAGTCTTCCGTATGAGTATATAATCCTTTGTGTCTGGCTTGCCTCATTTGCATGAGTTTTTTTCTGGTTCATTCATATTGTAGTATGTGTCAGCATTATGTTGCTTTTTATTTCAGAATAGGATTTCGTTCTGTACTTTTGTTATATTTCAAAAAAACCTTTGTCTAACTCAAGGTGATGAAAAGGTTTTCCTGCTTTTCTGTCAAAGTTTTAGAGTTTTAGCTTTACCCATTTTCTTTCCAGATCTGTTGCCTTATTTCTTCTTTAATCTTTGTGTGGTGCTTTGATGTATTGTGATCCTCATCATGACGATCATCATCATCGTTGTTAGTTTTACTTTTGTATAGAAATTGAAGGCAGGACATTAAGTGTCTTGCCCATGGTCGCACAAGTGGGTATAGAACTTGCTTGTTTTGTAAAAGTAACAGTCATTCCTTTGACAAATAACTTTGGAGGGGTGTACATATTAAAGATTCTTTGTATTTCAATCATTGTATGAGTTACCATAATGTATGAACATTCTTTCTTAAATCACTGTTTATATTATCTAGGCTAAGGATAAAGGACAGCCAGCCAAAGCAACCAGATTTTTAGCCTTGGACAAATGTTTGCCGCATAGAGACTTTCTTCAGGTAAAAAAAAAGAACTATTTGTGCAATGTACTTTTACTCTTTTATTAAGTTATATTACCTTTTTTTATGAAAAGGGTATTAAGAAAGTATATGTATTTCTGTAAATTACCCATTTCTTCCTGTAGGTAATAGAAATCGAACATGAATCCAGTGCTCCTGATTTCTTGGAGTATGATATTGAATGGCTCACTATTCTGAGGGCTACTGATGATGTTGTTAATGTGACTGAGCGCCTGTGGAATATGCCTGAAAACAATGGTCTGCATGCAAGGTATGGCTTTATTAAGAAAGTTCCATTTCCATTGTGCTTGTATCCCCACCTTCCCCCCTTTCTTAATTGTATATGTTGTTACTGTTAAGTGAGTGCCACCAGTAGTGACCTTGTATAGGGTTTCCAAGGAGCAGCTGGTGCGTTTGAACCATGGACCTTTCAGTTAGCAATCCTGTTTATAGGGTATCCTACGGTACCACATCAACTGTAACAAAACATTCACCATTTCCACATTCTTCACATGTACAATTCAATGACATTAACTTATGTTCATCTTATTAATTTATTTATCACCCTTATCTATTACCAAATGTTTCCATTTAAATGTAAGGGAATTTTGTTGGAGGGTCAGTGAAAAAAAGGGAAGAGCTCCCTCCTCCCCATTGTGAGGCTGGTGCAGGGCCAGGCAGTGTTTCATTCTGTTGTAAATGGACTTGCTGTGAGTTGGAGCTGACCACCTAACAACATAAGAAAAGAGTTTAGGAAATAACAAGTTTTTCATCTAAAGGAGACAAAATGGAATGTTTAGCACCAGTTTAAAAGTGTGTCTGAATAAATATTCATAGAAGTATAATATATTGAAAATTTGGCTCATACAGTAAATCAGTTTGTTTATATTTGTTTTAGGATTTAAGCTTAGGAACCATTTTTTCTAAAAGTTCTAAATTTCAAAATGGCCACATTGAGTTAATTATCAACTTAACTTTACTGAGTGGCATTTTGATGTTATCCTTGCACCTAAAGTTCATGGGTAGAATTTCTGCACTTAGTGTCTGAGAGACTGGTGAAATGTATGTATCCCAATCATGAGTTCTTGTTTTGGACTTTTATAGGTGGGATTATAGTGCAACAGAAGAAGCTATGAAAGAAGTACTGGAAAAATTGAATCATGACCTCAAAGTTCCATGTAACTTTAGTGTTACAGCTGCTTGCTATGACCCTAGCAAGCCACAGAACCAAATGCAGCTGGTTCATAGGATTAATCCTCAGACTACTGAATTTTGTGCTCAACTTGGCATCACAGACATTAATGTCAGGCTTCAGAAGGCCAAGGAGGACCCTCGCTTGTGTGATGAATCTGAAGAGCAGGATGATGTGGAGAGCAATGACTCAGGTGAACCTAGTGAATATAACACAGATACCTCTGCCCTGTCCTCGACTAATCCAGATGAGATAATGTTAGGTGAAGAAGAAGAGGATGAAGATAGTATTACAAGTGCACAGAGTGACATGAATACACCATCTGTAGAACCTTCTTCTGATCAAGCTTCTGACTTTTCTGCAAGTTTCTCTGATGTGCGAAGCTTGCCAGGCTCCATGATTGTGTCTTCTGATGATACGTTGGGTTCTCCAATTGCTAGAGAGGGGAAACCTGGTGAGGTTCTAGAATTGAGTGATGGGAAGGACTTCACAGAGGTGCCATTGAAGAGGCTAAGTGATGAACATGAACCTGAACAAAGAAAGAAAATTAAGAGGAGGAATCAAGCCATCTATGCAGCAGTAGGTGATGATGATGATGCAGAATAAGATATTTTACGTTTCTTACTGTTATAGGTAGATGCTTGACTCTCGAGGCTATATTTTTTTAGAGTTGAAATTTTGACTCAAGATTTAGTTTTGTAATAATGAAGCTATGATTGGATAATTTTAATGTGGTATTGACTCTGTCTTTGGACCTTTATATGTTTTAGATACAAACATATTAAAATTTCTTATATTTACTTGATTGAGTACTTTTTTCCCCCAAGGCATATATTGTTCACTTTCATTTTTTTCAGCAAATGACTATGGAGCACTTACATATAAATATGAATTAGACAAGATTTTTTGCCTTTGAGGAGCTACTGCCAGTGTAAATGTTTTGGTGTATTAAATATGTATTTATATTTTGTTCTACTAAGTCATATTGTACATACAACTGTATATGCTTTTTTTTCCTTTATTATGAATATTTTCCCTGGTTTGCTCTTCATATTTATTAAATATAATTAGAAATTAAAGGCGATACTTAAAGATTTCAGAAATAAGTTACTTATAAATACTAAACATTGGTAAACATGAAATCTTGCACTTAATTGCTGAGATTAATGTAATTTTTCCATATTTTAGCTTTAGTTATAATTTTAATGTAACTATAATATTGTGTATAGGTTATTTTGACATAGTTCAGTGTAGTATTAATTACTGGCAGGGATGGTGTTGCACAAATGCTGCCATTCGTGATGCATGTTGGGTTGCTAGTATTAAAGTATTTTTAAAGACTCATGTGAAAAAACTAGACCTTTGTCCTGTCTCTGGTTGAAATGCCTGGGCCCCTGAGGAGATAGTTGTCTGCGCTTTGGTTCGGGAGTCGTGGAATCCAAAGATTGTTCCAGGATCTCCTCCTCTCACAACAGTTCAAACCCAGAAGCTGGCTTTCTTTCCCCTTGTCAGTATTTGACTTGAAAAAGGTATAGGACTTTGGGATTTTTGTCTTTATGTCCTTCAATTTTTGGGTTACTTTTAAAAATGAATAGCATACTTAATTCACATATTTTAATTCTCATTGTTATTAGCATAAAGCATTTGAAGCTTTGAATTTCAAAAATCACAAATTTAAATTGTTTTCCATAAGTTCTGATACTATTTTTTCCCAGAATTTTAAAAATAAGATAAAAACAGAAAATAATTAGATACAAAAGAAATATTTGAGTTAATGATGGTTCTCAAAAACTACAATCCACTAGCTTACCTAATTAAAAACAAAACAAAGCACAAGAACTCAGAAATAAAAGAGAAGAAAAACCATTGAAACAGGATATTCAAATTAATAAGCATAATTGATCTACATAACTTGCTACAAATAAATTTGAAGTATTACTCCATATACACACACAAAAAAATACAACAAACACACCTGAATCAGATGGCTTCAGGAGGAAACTACCAAACTTTTTAAAGATCTGCAATAAATGCCTGATGCTATGTAAATACCAAAATACGGAAAAATGAAGGAAAGTTTTACAGACTATGGAACAAGTGCCAAAATGTGATCATACAATAAACAATTTAATCTCATTTATTAATATTGGTGCAAAAGCCCTCACTGAAGTAGCAAACATCTACAAGGGGGGAAGTTACTAAAAATGAATTTTTCCAAATCTAAAAACCTCTCCACAAATGTAGACTAGAAATAAGTGTTATTTTTGAATAAGCATTAAATCAGAATGTGATGCATCATAAGTAATCTACAAAGACAGATCTTATCCTTTATGCTGTATAGTTGAGTAGGTGCAACTCAGTACCTTCATGTTTAAAATAAGATTACTAATTTTCCAGTATCTTTATGGCAGGATATCTGAAATTGTGCTCATCTCTTACCAGGAAACTGGGAAGGGGATATAAACTTCCTTGAAGACTTCATTTCAAAAGAAAGAGTTCCCAGGTCCTATAGGAAGCATCCTTGATGTACATTCTTTTCATAAAGATAACTTGTTACTTTAAGATATTGTAATGTTTTACTTCTTCTGTTACACTGTTTTTATCCTTTCTCTGGACAATTTGTAGCCACCTAAATTATCTAACAAGTTTATACTAAATTGCAAAGCAATGGTCAGAGTTAAAAGATAAATGAAAAATTTCAGTACCATTTTTGTTTAGGGAATTACATTTACATATACCATTGGTGAATACGTAAATCAAATTCATGATTTGTTCTGTGCCCTTGAGTTGTGCAATCAAAGTGCATTTTAACTCGAACCTGGTATTCTAGATCTAAACTTTTGCCAAGAGTTTTTTGTATTGTTTTATTTTTGGAAGGCCGAAGGCATGTTTCCCGAGTTTTAGTGAATCACGTAAGTAACATATTTACATGATAACTGAGTCCTTTTAGTGATTGTCCTATTTTTCTAAACGTGAGGCAAAATACAAAGATGCTTATGCCATTACCTAGTACCAGCATTATGGGGCACTGGCTCAATAGCACAGACTGAACTTCCAGTGTTAAATGCACAGGGCTCCAAAGTCTTGAGGGCAAACCCATCTGCTGGGCTGTTTTTACATCAGTCTATTGTGAAGTGCTGTCAAGTTGATTCCAACCCATAGCAACCCTGTATAGGGTTTCTGAGGAGTAGCTTGGTGAGCTTGAACCTCCGACCTTGCAGTTCAAACTGTTTTGCAGTCTGACACATTAATCCACAGCGCCACACCAGGACTCTTTGCATCAGTCTCAATAGTAATATTTTAATAGCCACTAAATTGCCATGATTAATAGCCATCTTCTTTTGTAATGGAGTCCTAGTGTGGCATTGTGGGTTAATGAGCTGGACTGCAAAGTTGGTTCAAACCACAAGGCTGGCAGTTCAAGCTCACTAGCCGTTCCTTAGAAGCCCTCTACAGGGTTGCAGTGGGTCAGAACCAATTCAGGACTTATTCTATGGCACTTAACAACAACATCTTTGTAATGGATTCCAGACAACTTGTGTCCCAAAGTGAATTAAGTGACGTTAGACCTGTTTTCTCCCTGTGTGGCTGTTAATCAGATAGTTCTCTTTTCTGTCTCCTGGAATAGTCATAGTTTTAATACCAGTTGATTCAAGTTTGAACACAATTTTGTTCTACTGAAAAGAAAATTCTTTAAATTTTAAAATGATTTTAAACTGTAATTCCAAATTGTAACAACTTTTTGTTTTTAATAGACTATGGTTCTTAACATATTAACTTATTTGTTTGTAAATAGGACAGTAAGACTGTTAGGATGCTAGTAAGCTCCCTAGACAATCACCCCTAGATGATCCCTAGACAAACTAAAGTTTAGTTAAATAATATCAATTGCTCTTGAAAACTGATGTCCTTTGTGGGAACCACTGACCCACAAAGTTTTGGTTATGGCTTCACACAGGAAGCATGAATGAATCCAGGTGGATTTTTTTCTTTTACTTTGCGTTGGAACTTAAATTCTAAAGCACTTGGTTTTTCTGGTATTGTAGTGGTTACGAGTCGGGCTGCTAACCTCAAGGTTGGCGGTTCAAAACTACCAGCTGTTCCGTGGGAGAAAGATGAGGCTTTCTGTTCTCATAAAGATTTGCAGTCTTGGAAACCCTATGAGGTGTTGCTGTAAGTAGGAACTGACTCCACTGCATACCGCCACAACCACCTTAGTAGGAGCCCTAACTAAATGTGGCTTCTTGACAAGTGGTGTCTAGTCAGTTCCGACTTATATCAACCATGTATAGGGTTTCCTGGGAGTGTCTAGTGAGTGTGAACCGCCAACCTTGTAAGTTCAGGGCAAGCCCAGATGGGAAATTTACTTTCAGAAAAAGTGGTTGAAAGCAGATTAACTAGTATATATAACATCCTTGTGAAAGATACAACAAAGAACAAAGAAACTTGCCTGGGCATTTACTGAAAATAGCCAATCAGATGCATGCTATTTAATTTATGCTAAAGGTTGGGGTCCTGATACTATCTTGTAAGCACTTTGTGGCTCTGACTCAGGGTTGTATTCTGACCACCATTGCCAGGTAGTCAAGCCCCAGAACCAGTCTTGTTACTTTTTTTTTTTTTAACTTGTGTTTTTGCATGTATCCCAGTCATGATTTTTTTCCCAGTTTTTGTAGTCCTATGTGTGATCCATGAACTGAGCTGCCACCAGTCATTATCTTGTATGATTTCCTTGGTTCTCTATAGTATGTATATAGTAAAAAATAAAGCTATAATTCAGTGGATTCTGCCTGCTTCTACACTGTGTACATGCTGACCGTTTCTCTCCTGGGAGTATTGTCTTTGTTTTGTCTTTGTCCTGTTTAAGGTTTAATAAATGGCTCTCTAGAGAGAACCTGTTTGAATTTGAGGCTTTTTTCCTTTACCATAACTTTTAATAACTATATGCTACGAATCCGGCTGCGAACCTCAGGGTCACCAGTTCAAAACTACCAGCTGTTCCGCGGGAGAAAGATGAGGCTTTCTGCTCCCGTAAAGATTTACAGCCTCGGAAACCCTGTGCAGGGTCGCTATGAGTCGAAACCGACACCACGGCACATAACAACAACAACATGGTTGATCAGCAGCACTTGAAGACACTTTCCAACATAGTGACAGCCTGCCTTTTTTTCCAGAACACCTTTATGTGGATGAAATCTGGTCGAGAGGGGTGGCAGATTTCCTTTAACAGGTCCTTCCACATCCTTATGACATGAAGACTCAGGGTTTCTAGCGAGGAGAGAAGCCCCGTTAAGTATTGAAATGATTATGAGAAAACTCATTTGAATTGTGCTAGAACATGGCTTTGGACCCAAATGTCTGGGTCTACTAAACGTAAGATTGGAGTCTTGGTATGGCGTTGTAGGATAAGCACTGGACTGCTAGCCACAAGGTCGTCAGTTCAAACCTTCCAGCCATCCATGGAACACCTATACAGGGTCACTAACAGTTGGGACTGACTCCACGGCAATTAACAAAATTTACTATTAAAGGGTTTGTGCTTACTAGCATTGTAATTTTTAACAGTACTAGTGGTTAAATTCTGTGGTAAATCTCTGAGTAATTTC